AAATAAAAAAAGAGATTTGCGAGTGGGGTGAATGAACTAAATCATCATGGGCGGCTAGATAATTTAACAAAAATTAGGTTGCCTAATTTTGTTGAATTTTGTAATAGGGTTAATTACACTTTAGTCATTACACTTTAGGGTATTTTCAAAGATAGTCCCTAAGCTTCAACTATAAATACCCTAGCTCATTTAGCTTTAAAATCATCCCAAAATCCCAAATCATTTTCTTTCTCCCAATACTAGAGAGCTTTCTTGTGAGTAGTGAGTGTTTTATAAACACTTGTAAATGTGCTCTCTTAGTAAAAGATCTGCAGTAGTCCGGAGACGTAAGAAAAATTGGCTGAACTCTGTTATCAATTTTGGGTATTATTTTTCCGCTTTTATTTCGCATTCTCACTAATCTGGTTATAGGGAAATTACTTGTTTTCATTTTATTTCCCAACAGTTCACTACTGCAATCTTATCATAATGTCTCACCTCTAAGTTAGTTAAACGTGCAGTGAAGAGATAGAAAGAAATCCTCCATATGTACCTCTTCATTCGGCTATACCATTAAGAGATTCATAAGTGGACAATTTCGTTCACTGCTTCCATCTTATTCATAATGCTTCACCTCTAAGTTAGTTAAAAGTACAGTGAAGAGACAGAGAGAAATCCTCCATATGTACCTCTCTTTTTGTTGGGTGCACATTCACATCAACATGATCAGGTGGCAATATGATTGGCATATATATGAAAGGTTTTGATGCTTTTGGTAAGGTTACAACATAAAGAACTTCAATAGCTCTCTTTAAAGCAATGCATTCGACCAATCTGTCTGGGGTAATTGACAAAGAAAAATATAGGAATGTGAGATAAAAGATCAAATGAGATCCTACATACCACATGTGCACCATTAACAGAAAACTAAAGTACAAAAGCCATACGATTAGTACAATGGAGGATATTGGCAGAGGCAATTCCGAATAAAGCTCTAGGGCCAGATGGGATTAATTTGGGGTTTTTCAAAAAAATTTGGACTTATATTAAGGAAGATGTTATGAAGTTTTGCAGGGATTTCTTTGTTGGAAAACAATGAGAGAGAGGTATTAACCACTCTTTTATTACGCTGATTCTGAAGAAAGTGGGTCTAGAGTGCATTGATGATTTTTGTCCCATTAGTTTTGTTGGGGGTCTTTATAAAATCATTTCAAAGACATTAGCTAGAAGACTTAGAGGTTGAATGGAATATTTAATTAGGCCATCATAATTTGCTTTTATCCTGGATAGACAAATTTTAGATTGTTCTTTCATGGCAAATGAGGGATTGAATTTTGAAGGAGGAAAGGGCTAGTCGGTGTTACTTTTAAAGTTGATTTTAGGAAAGCGTATGATTCGGTTGACTGGACTTTGCTTATTAAGGTCATGGAGCTAATGGGGTTTGGTGAAATATGGATTTCATGGATTCGGAAATGTATTTCATCTGCTTCGGTTTCTATTTTAGTAAACGGTTCGCCAACTGAGGATTTCAAAATAGCTAAAGGTCTTCGCCAAGGGTGTTCCCTATCACCCTTGCTGTTTAACTTGATGGGAGAGCTCCTGAGCCGGTTGTTATCAAAAGATGTAAATTTTAGGTTGTTTGTTGGGTTTACTATAGGGAAACGAGGTTAGGATTTTAATCTTTCACATTTACAATTTACTGATGACCTTTTAATTTTTTATGGGCCTTCGGTTAATCAATTGAAGAATGTTATGAGGGTATTGCTGATTTTTGCATTATTATCGGGTCTCGAGATAAATTTAGTCAAGAGTAAGATTTATGTAATTAATGTGGAGGAGGGTTGATAAAAGAATGGGCATAAAATATTGGTTGTTCGGTTGGTTCTTTTCCATCTGATTATTTGGGAATTCCTCTTGGAACTAGGAGGAATTCTGCAGCTTTGTGGGAACCAGTGGTGAGGAGATTTAAATCAAAACTTTCTGGATGGAAAGTTGCGACTCTTTCGATGGCAACAGTGCTTGTAAAGTTGGTGTTGTGCTCTCTCCCTATTTATTTTTTTATCCATATTTAGAATTCTTGCTTCGGTATTGAAAGTTTTAAACTCTATTATGGCAAGATTTTTGTGGGGAGGATCGGATTAGAGGAGAAAGGTGCATTGGGTACAATAGTCTGTTGTGTGTTTGCCTAAGGGTTGTGGAGGGCTGGGGATCCCTAATCTACAGTTGGTGAACAGAGCTTTATTAGGCAAATGGATCTGTAAATTTTCTTCTGAAAATGATACAGACTGGAAAAAGTTGATATGTTGTATATATAATATGGACTTTAATGATATTTTTGTGAAGGAGGTTACATCCAACGTTTCTTGGTTATGGAAAAATGTTGCACAAAGTTGGATGAAAAAGGATGTATTGGGCGAGGTTGTTCGGAATAAGATGGTTTTGAATGTTGGGAATGGGAAATCATTTTCATTTTGGCATGATGTTTGGATTAAGAGGGTGGCTTTAAAGGTTAGGTTTCCAAGACTATTTGTCCTCTCAGTTAAAAAAGAGGGGAATTTTTTTGATTTTGGTTATTTTAGCTTGGCAAAGTGGATTTGGGACTTCAAATGGAGGAGGAATTTAGCAGATTGGGAAGTTAGTGTGTGGATTGATTTTATGACTTTATTGGATACTGTCAATATTGAACAGAATCGCGTGGATGGATTATTATGGAAAGGTTGTGGGGATGAGGTATATTCGGAGAGGTTTTGTTTGAAGGGATGGTTTGAAGTCCTTGGGGTTGAACAACATTAAAGTCGGATGGTTTGGTGTGGCCTTGTTCCTCCGAGGGTGGAATCTTTCATTTGGCAGGTGATGTCAAATAGGATGGTTGTAAAGTGTGAGTTGGTGAAGAGGAAGATTTCGGGTATAGTGGATATTTCTTGCCCATTATGTGGGTTGTTTCCTGAATCGATTTCGTATTTATTTTTTACTTGTAATGTTTCCTGGTTGTTGTGGTATAGATTTTTAAGATTTTGGAATGTTCACTCTTCTTTGTATTATGGCCCTGATGTTTTTCTGCAAGCTTGGTGGGGGTTGATTAGGAATTTCGAAATCTGTAAGGTTATTCATGGTGCAGTTTTGTCATCTAACTGGAAGTATAAGAACAGACTGGTATTTGAGGGTGGGCATTTGGATCAAATTAACCTGTTTTTCCTTGCTAGATATAGACTAGTGGCATGGTTCACTGCTAAACATAATGGTTTTCAGGGTTGTTTGACTGCCTTATAGGGGATCCGTCTGTGGCGGATTCTTGGAGTAAACAGGATAGTAAGATGGTTTTAAGACCTATATGGGTTCCTCCTCCTGAAGGCTTTTTCAAATTAAATGTTGATGGTGCTGTCACGAATGATTGGATGAAAGGAGGTATTGGTGGGATGATTAAAGATGTAGAGGGTACTTTGTTGGCTTCATTCTCTGAGGCAATTGGGTTAGGAACTCCTACAGTAGCTGAAATGTTGGCCATTAAAAGGGGTTTGGATATTTTCTTTGGTTCTCAATGTAGTTACAAAGGAAGACTTATAGTTGAGTGTGATTGCCTAGTTGTGGTTAATTGGATTAAAAATTTGGGTGGTTGATCGAAACAGTTGTGTTCTCTGTTGAATCAAATCTTAGAGATTTTCAATGATAAACACATTTCCATAACGGCTAATAGGGAGGCGGATAAGTTAGCAAAAGATGGCATTGTATGAATGGGGTTGTGTGTAGGAATTATGTGTTAGAGTTGGGGGTTTTGATTTGTTTTGGTTTATATTGGATGTTATGTTCTAATGAATTCTAAGTTGTAATGTTCGATGTTGTAATAAAATTATGAGACACTCTTTTCCTCCTTCCAATGCTCGACGAACTTTCATAGTTCGTTGAGTATGAAGGGTTTTTTTAATGAGGTCTCCCTTTTCTATCAAAAAAAAAATATAGGTAATGACAATTTGGTCACCCAACAGCTAGAAAAGTATTTGTAGCAGAAAGTGGGGAACTAGAATGAATTTCCAAACCATATGCCGCAATGAGCAACCAAAAAGGAAAAGGGAAAACTAAAAAAAAAGTATACGAACTCTAAAAATTTATTCTACACGTAAACTCAAAAAAGAAGACAAATTTCAGGCTTGCCAAATGGAGGTTGATTAGGAGGTACTGAAAGAGATTAATAGATAATGCTTGATGTTTTGGCCTAATATTCCAAGTATGAAAGATAGAAAGCGAGGCAGCAGGAAATTTTTTAGATAAAAAATGAATGGATTATCATCATTCATAAATGAAAAAGCAGCTAATTCGAGAGATTACAGGGATTATACGGCTCTCATTTGATTCAAACATTCCAGGAAGGGAAGGAAACGTTAAGAGTGTAAATACCCGTCTTCCTCTCCATTCACCTCTTCGAGAAACACCTACTCCTTCCTAAAAGGATAACTACTTACTCATTTTGGGTATCAATAGGATTTATGTTATCAACAATTGAAAATCCAGTAATAATTATCCTTTAATTCCTTTGGGTATCATTTAATCATCCTTTCGATGATACATGATAAATTTGAGGATGAAGTTTATTTTCATTTATTAAAATTAGGATCAAATTGATACAATATATAAGTAACAGTGACCAAATGTATAATTATATCAAATATTTTAATCGTCACATCAATTTTTCCATTAAATATTGACGGTTAATGGCTTAATTGAATGCTTTTAAATAGTTGAGTGACCTTATTGATAAAATTTCAAGAATAATGATCAAAATAAAAAAAGACAATAATTAGATAATCACTAATATAGTTTACCCTTTGTTTTAAATAAATTTAATGATACTCATCACATGATGAACTTAACAAATTTTCGAGAGATTTAAATAAAAAAGTAACCCACAAAATTGAAATAAGATAGACAAACAAATATTTCAATCTAGATTATTTATTAAAGTATACAAATATCTTTTATATTGACATTCCAAATACATTTTGTCCACAAATACAAAATATCTTCAATAAATTCATCTCTTCCACAGATGTGTGCAAACGCTGCAACCGCAGTATCCCTTTCATTCACTCTGACACAGTCGGAAACTCAAGATATGGGGCTGGCTTCCACCACCTCCACCTCCTCCCTGCTCTCCGCCACTTTTTGCACCGCCAGAAGAGGCTTTCCTCCGCCGCGCCATGCCCATCATAACCATTTCCGCTTCCTCTCAACTCTTGTACTGTTCATCTAGCCTTTTTCAACTCTCTTATAAGTTATAACTGATCATATAAAATATCTGCAGATTCTGACTTTAAAGTTTCAGTTTGTGTTCAGAAAAAATGCAATTTAAACAGGCAAGTACCGGTAGGAAAGAATAGAGGTGAGAGAGTAAGGTGTAGTGCAGTGGAAGTGGAAGATGAAGCATGTGAATTAGTCAATGGAGTTGAGCTTTCAATTGGTGAAGGAGATGACAATATTCAAGCTTATCTCTTCAAGGCAGTGAAGAACAATAATGGATCAGGTGTGTTGCTTTTATCTGATATCTTTGGGTTTCAAGATTCAGCCACAAGAGATTTTGCATACCAAGTTGCCTGCCATGGTTACAAGTATGATTCCTAACCTTTAAACACAAAAGCTTTTCTTCTGCTTTTATCTTGCTGTGTATTTATTCCTCACATGCTTAAATGAGATTGCAGTGTCCTTGTTCCAGACCTATTTCGTGGTGATCCCTGGGCAAAGAACCGGCCGAAAACAATGTTTGAACAATGGTTGGCTAACCAAGACCCTCGGAGGGTTGCAAATGACATTGCGACCTCGACAAAATGGATGGTCGATGAGTTTACAGCCGCCGGAATTTCAAAGAAACTTGGTATCATCGGTTTCTGTTTCGGAGGCGGGCGAGTGATAGACATTTTAGCTGCAGACCAGGGTGCTTGTTTTAGCACTGCTGTCTCGTTTTATGGCACCAGGATGGATGAGGCAGCGGCATCTAAGATAAAGGTGCCTGTTTTGTTCATTTCAGGAGACGATGACCCGCTCTGTCCGGTTAGTGTTTTGAGTGAGTTTGAGAAGATCATCGGCAAAGGTTCCAGGGTTGTAATCTTCGAAGGAAGAGGTCATGCCTTTGCCCATCGACCCGGATCTCTGGAAGAGGATGAAGACGCAGAGCAGGCGTTTACGTTAATGAGGAATTGGCTACATGATGCCCTTGTCATAAACAGTTGAGCGCATGTGTTTATGGTTATCTTGTAGGTTGTTGAAGGAAGAATTGGTGCATCGTCCTTGTAATACCCTGAACAAGCAATTTGTTCTCGATAATGTATATAAGCTAATGTCCTTTTTCATCTCATTTACATTGCAAGAATTTCCAGAATCCCCTTTTCAGCTTAAGTGAGGGTTATTACATAATTAGGAGTAACCGAAAGGCTGCAGATGTTAAAGTTCAAATCTAAACTTGCTAGACAACAGTTTAAAGGATTGTGAATTCATTGTCAAATGATTGAGAATTTTTGAATATATATTGCCTTGTATTTATCTCAGATTTTAAAAAAATCCAAACTTGCCAGACACCAGTTTTGAAGGATTGCTACATGAATAGATTGTGATAAACTCGGTTTTTTTTTCTCGTTAGATACAGGAGTTAGGATAATATCAGGTGAAACTCAGACGCCATCTCAAATGAACAGATTCAAAATTGTGTTCTTCTCATGATAGAATTACAGAGTAAAAGATAAAGGGACTCATAACGAACTTTTGATGCATAAAGTTAATTGCTTGCCCGCCAACATATTAGTAATACAAATTCAGAATACACTCCCGGGGGAAAGACTAAACAATATCGGCTTATGAAATTCTGAAGCCTGTCAACTAGAACTTCAAATACATCAACTCACTCCTGATCCTGAAAACAGAAAGAGAAGTAAATTAACTTTCTTATAGAGATTCTTGAAACATATAATAAGTAGAATAATGTCAAAAATTTGGAAACTTTATTAACGAAAAAATCTTTAGGTACCTCAAGTTAACTTGCGGTATAGTTTGAGCACTTTCTTTTGTATTAAGCCTAAACTAAACTTCAGATGCATCCTTGATATGCTGATTTTTTATAATGTTAAAACTTAATTGACTGTAACTAAAAGTGTCAGAAAATTTGACAAGATCATCTACTCTGGACAAGGAAAAATGAAAAGCATTCTTGATACGCTGATTTTCATCAGTATCACAGGTTCACTGTATACAATATTTCTTTTCTATTTTTATTAAATCTAGTTGTTATAAGAAATTATCTTAAGAAAAGAGTCCATTCATCATACCAATTTTTTATACAAATCGACGACTCCAACATGACACTAATAGAGTTGGTTGGGTCAATGTTGAAGTAGGCAATTGTAACCTAACCCAGAATGACCCTACTAGTGCTCATGCATATACTCTCATTTGAGGCCTTGAAATAACTTCTAATAGGCTGAAGAAAATTTTACTATTTATAAAGAAAAAGGATTAGCGCTATACAATTAAAACATGAAAGTGCAACCTAGAAAAGGAAGAGTCAATAAAACATTAGGCCAACCTTTGGTGCAGGAGCATCGTCAAGCTTAGGAGGAGCCAACTTAGGAGAATACCCACCAAAAATACTATAACAATCTGTGTATGCAGATCCAATTCCAACCCCGGCACCAAAAGCTACAGATGCCCATCGAGTCATTCGATTCCCTGGCATGAAAAATCAAAGTTATGAATTCAAGAAAAGATTAAGGAAGAAAAGCAAACGAGAAAGCACAAAAATGGAAAAGCACAGTAGTGACAATTCTTGAACATACTACTACTACAAGCAAACTCAGTTTACTTTGTCTGCAGCCTAGATGAACGTCTAGTAAAAGGTTAAATGCGTAATTACTTTAACTGCTGAGGTTTTGTTTGGTAGAAATGATAAAAAAAAGTTTTAACTCATCGATTGAAGTTGGTTAGGAGGCATAAATTAAAAACCTTTCCTTTTCCTTCTTCCCTACAAAGCAAAGCATTAATCAAGTCCTTCAACAAAGGCAAAAGGAGCTACTTCTGGTATTGGAATATAAGGTGAACCAAAACCAACACGTAGAGATGCAAGGTGCAAGAATATCTTAGAATAAGAGTCCCATACGATACTGTGACCATGATACTTTTCTCCTTAAGAAATCCACTTTGTCTCAACCAACTAAATGGGCGCTAAAGAATACAACACAAATTTAAATAGCAGTCGCATTTTTCAGCTCCATCTCTCTACGCCGTCAATGTTCACAGTAGATGTTTGCTGCAATCGACTCATTTCGTTCTCAAGCACAACAAAGAAACAATGCGTCCAAAACGTGTCCACTGACTGCAATTTAAATCCTACCTATTTCATGTACGTGTAAATTTGAAAAGCTAATGCTACCAAGTACAAAACAGAATTGAAAGATAAATGGTGACAACAATTAAAAGAAACATGGAAAAAATTGTGGCAACCAGAAAATCAGAACATGAAATTTTCTAGAACAATTTAGACCAGTCTGCAATCCATACTACTACAAATCCTAAAATTCATAAATTTTTAATTATCTAGTTGAATAATACTAAATTGTAGTCATTAACTGCGGAGAAATTGGGCAAATCGAAAACAAGACCTTAAAAGTTGAAAGAAAATGATATAATTAGGGAAAGAGAGACAAACTGAAGAAAATGACGCCAGCGCAAGCGCCAGTCAAGGAAGAGTAAACGAAGCGGCGGAGACTTAGATCGATGCAGGCGTCCCATTTATCATTCACGTCATACATTGACGCCGCCATTTCCTTGTTCTCCCCCATTTCAAAACCTTCTTTACAACTATTACTTTTGTTCTTTGTTCGGGTTGCTGCTGAGATTTCCCTTCATTTGCTTCGTCTTTTGTGTTGTTAGCGATCTGCAGCCATGGTTAGAGGATAGGTGACGACGATTCTCTGGTTGATGTGTTTCTGACTCGCCGATACCAATCGTTTTTACCTAATTGTCCTTATGTTCCTAATCGAGCCAATTACACGTTAAAGTTCAATTTTTTTTAACATGGTTTTCTCTTGTGCATTTTTAGTTTTATTATTGATTATTTAATTTTTATTTTAAATTATAATTTAAGTATTAAAAAATTAAAATTCGTATATTAAATTTTTTTTGTAATATATCTTAAAATATTAAAAATATTTTGAAAGTCATGTAACCTTGTTATAATAGATCTATAAAATTAAGATCAATATTGAGAATGACTGAATTATTAAGTTTCAAAATAATAAGATTTATTAAATATTTAAATTAAAAAATATATTAAAATTAATTTAATTATAATTTAAACTAATAGAAATTTAAAATGTTATTTGATGAAAAATTAAAGAATCAACACCCTCCCAACTTATATTATTAAGGCAAAACGCCCATCCCCAAGTCCAACCAAACGTTTTCTGCCGCATGCCCAATTGGGTGGGAACACAACTTAGGCCTGTGTTCTTTAAACATCTTATTTGTTGTGCCTCGAAAGTTTTATAGTATATTTAATATTTATGTTATGATTTATATTTAAAATATATGCTTATTAAGTACGGTGCTTTTTTTTTATATTATTAAACTATGTGGGGGTGGGTAGGGCCTGGGGGGCAATACAAGACATCACAGTCTAAGGAAGGGTTCAGTTCCCAAACTTTGTTTTAATGATTTACAAGTTGTAATCTTTTGCTTTCGACAGATTAGACATCAAATTCACAAAATTGATGGACTCTGTTTCAGATGTAAATAGTATGGTCCACTTAATATATAAAAATAATTATCATTTAAGTATATTCTGCCCAAACAACTAAGATAATTATGAGTTTTAGTCAAGTTTATTTAGATTATTTAAATTCCAAGTGACAATGTTATGTCAAAGTCTAGCTCATTTAATATATAAATATATTATCCTAATCCGTATTGGATTGAATAAATATTTTCTTATATTTAAGAAAATCAACTCATAAATACTTTAAACTTAAAGGATAGTTATTAGTAGGAATTTTTTTGTAGCTATAAATTTAATTTATTAATGGTATTGCCCTTTTCAAAAAAAAAATATTAATGGTATTTATTTGTAGATATTCTAAAATAGTTGGAGTTTGTAATGAACTCCCTCAACAATGGATTGAGTTGAGTTGATTAACTAACTTAGCCCTTAATTTAGCTGTTAAGACAATGATATTTGCTAAATCTGCCTGCTTGCTTGCCATGTGTTGGATATGAAAGCTTTTAAAAATGTCGATTAAAATCTTAAACACTGTTAGTCAGGAGCAGTGGATAAGGATGATTCATCCATTTTAATTTATTTTTTCTTCTAGAAGCATTTGACAGCACAAATATCTCCATCTAAATAACGTTCGCGGTCACGTTTTCAGTCGTGTCACGTTTATCACAGTAATAGACATTGAAGACACTGAAATTCGCCCATCATAATACATACATATATTATATTATGTTATAAATTATAATATAATTTATTTACATCCTTGAATTTCTGTTACAGGCCCAACAATAAAGGCCCAAATCCCAAGTGCCCCAGCCAAGACCCAAACCCGTGCATACTTAGGGTTTCCAAAGAACCCTAGCTTCACACACTCCATCAGCGCCGTTCTCCCCCTTTGAAGACCCAGCGCCGTGCAGCAGTCCCAACTCCCGAGTTTCACGGCCGCACGCCTCCTTTCACAGTAATTTCTCGCATGTTCAACAAGCACAACGACGTGAGTTACAAGGATACATCCACAACCAACCAAGCAGTGATTTAGTCCAAATAAAATGCTAGAAAATCGGGACTAAGACTAGTATTCTTAGACTATAAATACATGTAAAGTGAACATGATTAGGGGGGAATACACACAAAAATACTGAAAAAACCACACATCTATAGCAAATATAGAGAAGCAAGCCGAATCTTTGTACAACGTTTGAAAGGAAATAAAGGTAGCATTTTTACCTTATTTTGTTCGTTCTTGGTTACTTGCATGCGTAGTTACTCGCGTTTTGTGCTTGAAAACACCAAAGAAAAAACGTTTTGGCCGATGACAGAGGAGTGGATCTTTTGAACCTTCGATCTTAGATTTACACTCCGAGGCTTGTTTTCCTAAAAAGTACTCGGATATTCTGAAAAAGGAGGCAAAGGGCTCTTAAAAAATCGAAACTTTTTATATTTTGTCGCCGGCGAACGGCGGTCGGAGCCAGCAACGACGGCCAGAATCTGGATTTGGCGGCGGCGTTCATGGGTTCATCAAGAACACATGAAACGTCCAGAGAAACGAGAGGGAGAGAGGAAGGGATTCGGTTTGGAGGAAGGAAAAATGAGAGTTAAAACAGATTTTTTAACTTAAATACACGGCCCG